TTCACCTGTCCATTCTTTGGTGTACTCAGCATGGCTGGATTCTAGACTAGTGACTGTGTACTATGTAGCTACATAGTGATTCACCAGTCCATTATTTGGTGTACTTAGAATGGTTGGATTCTACTATCGTACAATCATGTTCACCTGAATAATTTTCACATTATGCAGATCTGTTTATTGATTCGCCATCATGAGAAGAGTGTTTTGTCAAATATCACTAATTCCAAACATTAGTAAGCCAAGTGATTGTTGCATTTAACAGTTTTATTTTATGTTGTTACTTGTTAAATACTTGTATTGTAAATCTAATATGTCTTTAAAGTTGACAAAGTAAAAGAGGAGCAAGACAAGACAGTAAAGGAAGGATATTTTCAGAGCTCTCAGATAATGCATTTTCATGGTGTGAGACACATCTGACGAGTACAACTTCACTTTAATGCTTTGTGTTTTTGAATTGAATTTTCATTCTAGGGACAAATAGTTCAACAAAATTGGACAACCCATATAAGGTGATAGCCCACTTTGTTAGCTCTGTTGTCGACAAAGTCGAGCGGAGCATATAGTATTACTGATTGTCCTCCGCCGTCGTCAATTTTACATTTTCGACTTCTTCTTTAAAACCACAAACTGTATAGCTGTGAAACTTTCTAGGAAGGTACCTTGGGTGATTCTCTCTCAGATTTGTTCATTTCGTGTGGATATGTTAAATTGACTTATTTATAGCGAATATTTTTGGTCAAAAATGCTATTTTCAACTTCTTCTTGTAAACCGCTAGCCCAAATGCTTCGATACTTGGTATGTAGGTACCTTGGGTGGACCTCTCTCAGATTTGTTCATTTCGTGATGATATCTTCATTCTCTAATTTTGATGAATATTTTATGTCATTTTCGGTAAAAAATTATGTTTCCGACTTCTCCTTGAAAACTGCTAGTCTGATTGCTTTGATATTGTATATGTAGGTACATCAGGTGGACTTCTGTCAGATTTGTTGATTTTGTGACAACATCTTCAATACTCTAATTTTAATGAATATTTTATGTCATTTTCGGTAAAAAATTATGTTTCCGACTTCTCCTTGAAAACTGCTAGTCTGATTGCTTTGATATTGTATATGTAGGTACATAAGGTGGACCTCTGTCAGATTTGTTCATTTTGTGACAACATACCCCAAGTCAGACCTGGTACCCATGCTGAAGTATAGATTTTCAAAAAAGCCTCTAAACATGTACTTATTTTGTGAAATTATACCTCTTTTCAAGTGCAGAAACTTAAAATAGATACCCTATATACTGTACATGCTAAAATCACACTGTTTCCAAGTTGAGGTAACATGAATTCATGAGATTCCATTTTTCACACTTTCCAGAATACATGACATTACACAGTATTCAGTTAATGAACGAAATTCACATGACAATCTTATGCTTACAAATAACCCGATGATTATGCTGGAGAATACAGTACTGGAAATCGTTAAGTACATAATGTAGTCAAATCAGTAAGAAAAGGATACTATGGACCCTATGGTATACATAAAATGTAACTACATGTACAAAATAAATTTTTTTACAACATGGACTTGTTGACAATCCCTAATATTGGTAAATCACCAATTGTCAACTTTAAATCTAATTTATTAGGAATTGCCTACATGAAGTTACACAGATAGAAGAAAATGCATCATTCTAGCAAGGAAAAATATTGATTAAGAAATAATTATGTAAATTATACAAAGACAAACCTTCACAACAGTTATTTCGGACTACTTCACACTTGGAGAAGACTGCATCAGTTTTTACAAAAATGAAATTTCTTTGATATATGATTTTATTATTCGTCATGGTGATCACAACAATCAGTGGTATGTATTCACAATAGACAAGGGGTGGCGGTGGGGGTTGGTTTCTAGCTTGCGTGATCGTTGGTTCCTTGCATTCTTATGAGCTGTTGCATGTTATATGAAGTGAAATCAACCCCCACTTCCGAAATTGGAACGTTTTTACACCAGAACGTGCAACTTTCTATGGTGACCACGGAACTCAATACT